GTAAAAAATGCCAGACATGTAAAGATAAATTATATGATCTCATGTGGCAACCTCAATGGTCAAACTCAATGTAGCAAAGGACTTGAGAAGAGAAATGGAACTGTCAACTAATAATGTTTAAGATTTGTAGAGGGCACATTTAAATTCCATCAAAAAAAAATTCCATTAAGAAATTTTGATTCCAGTGTATTCTCATTACATATGTGTTAATTCTAACGATTAACATCTTTGTAGCTATACCTTAAAACCTACAAAAATTTTTTTGAAATTCAAATTTCCAGATTGGAAGATTTCAAAGACATTTATAGATTAAAAAGTAAAGCACTGTTCATCATGCTGAATAAATCACCTGCCCTATTCAAATTAATTTCAGAAAAAGTACATAAAAGTAAATGGCTATCAGGTGAGCTCATTATTTTAGGTACACAAATCCTACTTTAAAATTACATTTGGGGGGCCTCCCCAGTGGCGTAGCGGTTGAGCGCTGGGTTGTGAAGCTGCCCGCAGCCTCTGCAGCGCCGGTTCGATCCCCGGCTGCTCCCCGGCCACCGGAGGAGGGTCCTACATGGCACACAGACCTCTCCTGCCGCCCGCTGCTCCCCTCAGCAGTGTACTTCAGTCCTTCTGCCTACTCTGCTGCCCGCTCTGGCTCTGGTCAATTCTCTCACCCTCCCGCGCTTCTGACTGTACCCAGTGCTTGTATAAATAAATCTTAAAAAAAAAAAAAAAATTACATTTGGGCCTCCCTGGTGGCACAAGGGGTTAAGTCGCAGCACTATGAAGCTATCTGCAGCCACTGCAGCATGAGTTCAATCCCAGCCAGGGAGGTGACCCACATGGCACAGCAGACCTCTCCTGTCTCACCCACTGTTCCTCTCAGCAGTTTATTTCAGTCAATCCTCCTGTTCTGCTCCCCACTCTGTCTCTGGTGAATCCTCTCACCCTCTCCGCATCCCTAGACTACACCCCAGCTCTAGTATGCATAAATAAATCAATTAAAAAATACATATAACACGAGGGAGAGGGGGAAAAAAAAAAAAATATATATATATATATATATATATATATATAACACACACACACATAATTACATTTTAGGAAACTCATTCATGCTATTTGTATATATGTTTCTTACTATTTCCCTTAATGTTAAACACAAACCTATCATGCTTGTCCTAAAAGGCAGTACACATTTGGCAGTCAAAGCACATTGGGACATTGGGGGAGGTAGGGGCTGTAATCAAATTGAAGCCAAAGCAACACACAGGTAATGCATTTCTTATTCCTGAAGCAGTGAATCCACTTGTTTCTTTTTTGATACTATAACATTTTGTCAGCCCCAAATATATAGAAAGTGAAAAAGATCTTTAGCTGTGCTGTTTTAACACATCTAATTCTGATATAAAAAGTTAGGTGATTAGTTAGTAAAGCAAAATGAAAACATCTATTAGACCAGCAGAGTATATTATTTGGGTAGAAACATGAACGACATTTCATCTGTGGTTATTAAATTCAGTTTTCATTTACTCTGAATTTATTTTAAAAATGACAAGTGGCAACCAAGAGCAACATAAATATGAATTAAGGTCACAAATTAGGCAAACAAAATGAAACGTAAAAATTGACTAGATATGCACAGTAAGGCTTAAGAGAGCTATCTGTTAATAGTTTCATAGATTTAAAAATCTTTTTTTGTAAGGACAAAAAAAGCAACCCAACCTAAGCAGCAGAAGATGTAATGTAAATCTCTCTAAAACACCTTCTGACAGATTTTCTACAAATATGTCAAATTTCTCAGCAGTTTAAAAGAAAGGTTGGCCTAACTTAATGAAAGTAGTATGTGTTGGTTGTTTTATAATTAGTTATTGTATACCTGGAGAATTAAAATTTCAATGTTTTCCTCAGAGCAATGAATTATAAATGACTATTTTTACATACAGTTTTGTTTTTAGCAAAAGGTATCTTAGCAACTTGATAAACCATACACATAATTTTTTAATTTTACTATGTACAAAAATAAGACAATCGCTGTTCATGGAAAACTTTCAGAAAGCTCAGAAATACAACTGAACAACTAAATATAAAAGTTAAAATGCCTAAGTACTTTTAAAAAATAGTTATACATAAGATGCTGGAACCACAGAGCTAATCATTCAATATATATTTACAAACCATAAACACTACACTAAGTGCTAAGAATACAGCAGTAAACATGAAAAGGCACCTCTGCTCTCCTTTGAACAATGACTACTAAGGTGCAGAATGAACAATTAGATTTAAACAAAGTAAGTATTACAAAAAGGGAAGTAAAGAAAGTCACAGAGGGTGTAATTGATTCTGCTCAAAAGGATTAAGAAAAACCTAAAGGAGTTGCTGATATTTGAACAGGATTATTAAGTATGAGAAGTAATTTAGTAAGCAGAGGAGGACCAAGAAGCTATTCAGTCTAGCAAACACATTTGTGAGAAAGTAGTTACACTGGAGAGGAAGAGGACAAAATCAAATCAAGGGGTAACTGGTAACATAAGGAAGTAGAATCAACAAACACTACTAGCAAAAACTAGAAGGGAAAAGGGGGATAGAAGAGTATGTTGCTTATGTGCTTTAAAACTGAATTAAGGGCCTCACTGGTGGCACAAGGGGTTAAGCACAGCACTATGAGGCCGTCTGCAGCCTCTGCAACAAGAGTTCAATCCCCATCTGGCCAGGGAGCAACCCACATGGCGCAGCAGACATCTCCTGCCTCGCCCACTGCTCCCCTCAGCAGTATATTTCAGTCATTCTGCTTGTTGTGCTCTCCACTGTTTCTGGTGAATCATCTCACCCCCCCCCACACCTCTGGTCTATACCCCAATTCCTGTAGGCATAAATAAATAAATCTTTAAAAAAATAAAAAATTAAAACAGAATTAAAAGGAGAGTAAAAACCTTGAAAGAGTAAATAAGCGTTCTGTCCCTTCATACAACAAATCCTTTATCTGAACAGGATACAGATAATTTTTTTTAAAGCATGGAAGAATTCTCTAACCCAGAGACTGAATTGTTCAAACTGCAAAACCATCAATTTAAAACTATTTCAGTTTGAGATTAGTAATACTGATTAGTTCAAAAATTAGAAAAACCAATTAGATCTAGAAATACTCTTCATTCTGGGCATAAAAACCTAACATAAAATGTAGCCCTAATTTAGAATTTCACTTTGACACTAAAACAATATAACCAAAATCTCCAGTCAGTCCTGAGAACTTGCAAAATTACACTATTTAAACACATTTAAACATTTAAACACAGTTATGGTAAACCACACGCCTATCTCACAGGTAGTAATTAGGATAACTTAGAAAAGGTTTACTCATAAGAAACAGAATATTCCCTGCTCAGAACATGTTATTCAATAGCAACAGAGGAAAAAAAGATGGTCTTACCCTCCCAAAGATTTCTCCAACCTATTAAGCAACTTTTGAGAAGCCTAACTTCTAGACAAGCTAAGCCAATGTGGCTACAGTTCAAACATACAAACTTATACTCATGAAGAAATTCAGTCCATTCTCTTCTACAAATTGATAAATTTTAGTTATCTATTACATAGATGACCAGGGTCATTGTGTCTTTTACTTTTTGATATTGTGAACAATGTGAATCTGCCATATGTGAAACTGTGAACAATGTGAATATGCCATATGTGAATTGTCTGGCGTGAATATCCTTAAATCCCAGAACTTCTGTGTGTTGTCTAATATGTCTGTAGACTTTCTCATACAACCACCATTCAGTGTGATCTGTCAAATACTAACTAACGTGAACAGGGTTAGTGTAAGAATACTCTGCAATAAATTTCTGTATTCTGACATGGGAGTATGTTCATGAGATACTGGTAAATGAAAAAAAGTAATTATGGCAGAATAATACTAATGATTTCATGTGTATAAAAAATCACATATTTGCATATAGGTTTGCTGAGAAAATGGGAAGATGCGTATCAAAACATTAGCGGCACCTATAAACGGAAAGAAAGATGAAGAGTTAAGAGTATGAGGATGGTAGAAAAGGGACTTTGTACACTAAAATACACACACGTACAAAATGGTTAATGATTGTGTATAAATTTTGCACTAAAAGAAGTCCACTTAAAAAGAAGTAGCCAAGTTACTTATTAAGGCCTGTTGACAAGAAAAATACCTATTTCAAGCAGTTTGAGAACTCTGAGGCATATTTGCATTCTAATAATAAAGACAACTGTCATTTCTATTGCTCATAAAGTTACTAGCACAATACAATTCTGTTCCTTCTTAAGTCACCATTGCTGTGTTAAAGACATCTACACTTCCCTAGTTTACACTATCTCCCTCCCACTATACAATGGTAAATCATAACATTCCCAACCATCACCATTATTTACTGGACACTACTATGTGTAAAGCATATTTACAGGATACAAAGAAAGTACACTTCTGTCAAGCCTTATAAACAAGCTAAAAAGACACTCTTAGCTTAATGTACAGATAGCTCTAGTTATCTTTTCCCTTCCTACCTTTATATTAATTAATGCTGAGAAATTTTTTTTTCAAGTGGAAGTGTCCTTCACATGGGCTGAAAACTGTCCCACAGTTTAAAAAAAAAAGCACTAGTTACACAGAAACTAAAGCCAATATGCAAGTAATTTACAGTAAGATTTGTAGTAAGAGCAACCTTATTAAATGATTTAATAGCAAATCCTCTGACTGCCAATTATTTACTGAAAATTTCTAAGATTTTACCATTACATTTTGTCACAAATAAACTTTAATTTTCCCATCATTATCTTAAAATTTGTTCTACTAAATAGATCAAATCTTTAAAAAAAATTCATGTTTTTAAACAATATTTCACCATAATATTACTCCATTTGTGTAGCAACAGTTTGCAATGAAATTTTCAGTACAGTTATTAAGGGATATTTATAAAAATACCCAATAGAATACTGCCCACAATAAAAGCTCTTAAACATTTAGGATGACTTACCTCATCACAGTCTCCTTCCACCATGGCATATATAGCTTTCTTAACCAAGTTAGTACCTAGAATATAAATCTGAATGTTAATGAAGGATAAATGTAATTAGCTTTTTAGATACCTAAGTTGTGACGGTCACAATAAATACAGAAATGGCAAATGTTGGTTCTACCTTGAATGCAGAAGCACAGATAATATTAAATGAGAAAAATTTAGGTTTACACTGAGAGGCCAATAGAGCCACACAGCAATGTTTCCTCTTGAAAGACCTATCTCCTGATACATTCCTTCTTTCTCAGTTACAATTATTTGCTCTGAGCAGAAGTTTGTGCTCTTCTACCTGAGGTAGGAAGAAAGGGAAAAACGAAAAAGGCAAGATATGACATTGCCAAAGCAATCCAGAAACTGGCCAGTACTCACTGTATAACCCTAGAGTCAGATTGCCAAACATCACATCAAAACTGTGAGCTGCCCCTACGGAAAAAAGTATGGAGGTTTCTCAAAATATTAAAAACAGATCTGCCATAAGATCCAGTACTGAAGTCTGACAATCCCAAATGATGTTGGCAGTGTGTCTACAAATGTCAAGCAAATGTATCCTACTTTAGGGGGTCAGAAATATTTGGTACATTACAAGGAAAACTGCCAAATTTGATTTTGAGAAAAGAAAGAAATCCAAACTTTATAAGAAATCTCTTAATTTTGAAACCACATACAGGAGACAGGAACATCTTACACGGGCAAAACAGTCTGAGAGCTAGGACACAATAGTGAAGGCACCATTTTCTGCTCTCTGAAGGAAGCCAGATAGTTGTCTATTATTTGTCTTTAAGTCCTTATCAGCTCTTCTTAATGCATCAAAAACTCAAACTGGGGCTTATTTAACAAAATTTCATTAAAAATCTTATAGTAAGCTGGAATATTATAAAAAAAGAAATTGGTTAAACCTAATATGTTAAGTAAATCTATTCATAATGATTTCTTATGACATCTAAGACTGTATGAAACAATCTTAAATTAGACAATAATATAGTTTAAAAAAACTGCAAGTGACAAAAACTACTGGTAAAAATTACTGATACAGGCACCAAATCTTTCATGATATTTAGCAGCTTTAGTACATTCAAGAATCTGACATGCTCAGACAAGTGCTTATCTACCTGATTCTCCATCCTGAACAAAGAGCCAGTTGGTCCTAAACACTAAGACAGTAGTTCCCCATTAGGCTAACATTCTAGTCATAGTCACCTAGGGAAGCTTTAGCCCTACTTCCAAAAGGACAAGATCCTCAGGGAGGGACATAAGCAGGTGTTTAAACTACACAGATGATTCAAATAACCATGTATAAACCTCGGTATAAACTATCCAGAAAATGTCAGGAAAGATGACCCCCTGGCCCTCCCTATAATGGTAACAATTTCTCCATAATTTGCCTTGATTGAGGTTCGCTTAATCCAGACAGTCACTTGAAGGTTGTGATCAAGTGGCCTAATAATGCCTATAAAAGCTGTAATTTCATTATTACTAAAAACTATAGAAAGCAAAACATTTTGAATCTGATAAAAAAAAATGTCTGGAAGCGAAAATTATCTGCTACTTGCTAGAAAGATAATCTCTCAAACACAGCATTAAAAAAATTTGATTCATTTAATAACATTTTAAAAATATTATGTTTAAATAAAAACAATCACTTTCCCTCTCTTCATGCTTACTTCTACATATTTACATTTACACTCTTGCTTCAAAAAACAAAAATGAAATCATTTATATATTCTTTTAGTGACATAATATTTTTCTTACCAATGCCATTTCTCCTGTATTTGGAATCCACGGCTAACATGGCTATATAACCTCTGCGGAACATCTTTTTGTGCATATCCAACTTGCAAACGATGGCACCTACACACTCCTCCCCTACCATGGCCTTAAAAATAAACAAACAGTTATGAAGAATACATTGTCATCAGGTACTGCACAATTTACCCAGGGAAACAGCAACTAACATTGGTCAGCATTTTTGAGGGAGAAAGAGAAAAAGTAAACTCTAGCAAGCGAACAACCACAAATGTTTCAGAAGTCTAAATCCCAGAACTCCTTCTAATATACTGGTTTCAAAATCTTTCAACACTCTTTAGAATATGAATTTCTTGTGCTGATTATCAAAACCTAGAGGGAAATGCATCACAATTTACATAAAGTAATCTCTATTTGCAGTTATTTGCCAAAAAAAGATTTTTTTTTTAATTTGAAAAGAGTGAAATAAGTAAAAATGATTTTTCAGGAAAATGTCCATACATGAGGATAAAATATTATAAAACGTTGCTTATCAGCAGAGTACTCTATTTGATTATAGCAAATCTTCAGTGAAATATAGTTATAAACCATACTTATACCTGAACAGTAAAGTTAGATTTTGATCAGGAAAAAAGGTCTAAAAGATTTTCAGAGAAAGGATTGCGTACAAGGCATTACTCAAATTCTATCCAAAAGGGTTTTGTTATTAAAGGCCTACAAAGACTAGATACATGGATGGTGCCATTTTTATGGCACTCCTCACAGTGTGAGTCATTGTTATAAAGTTCACAGATATCTAGAACTCAAAATTCTCAAAATTTCTGTCTTACAAAGCAAAATGTACATAAACGTCTGGTTGAACAACTGACAGCATTTTCTGATTTGAAAATAACTCACTTCAAGTGTAAAAGTGTGTGTGTGTGTGTGTAACACAGACTAAATGCTACTTAAAGTTTTTTTGACATGACCTCAAAAGCTAAGGGAAATGGAAATCAATACAAATGCAAGAAACAGAATTATAGGAAAGCTACATTTCACAGTTAATAAGTTGTCAAAAACAGAAAAAATTTAAATTACTAAGCAAAACGCAATTGGATATAGCTTCAACTTGGATAGACATTTCAAACAAATCTTTGTTCTTTGACCAAGGAATAAGCAAAGTACTATTTTAGTTCACTCTTGGACAAGACTGATTTCTTCCTAATTAAGAATCAGCACAAGTGAAAATCAAGTTGTACATATCATTTCAAGAGAAGCCCAATATCTGAGATACTCTATTATTAATAAGATGTTAACAGTGAGGAAGGTCAATGTGGTCTTTTTTTCCAAATAAATTGCTGATGGATATACAATTACAAGAATCATTAAACTGCTTATCAAGTTTTTCCAAATAAAGTCTATACATACATATGGCATTGATGCTATTAAATGTGATTTTTTCTTAGAAGATGGAAACTAAAAAATTCCTGGCAAGATAAAGACTTAACTCTACAAGGCCAAAGACTTATCAATCAATAAAATTTGAAATATAAATTGTGTAAAATAGAGATTCCCAAATTCCAGAATACTATAAATAGGAAACTGGAGGAAGCCAGAAAGTTAAATTTAGAACAAATAAGCGGAAATACTACAGTATGTTGTTAATAATTTAAGAACTTCAAAAGGCATCAACTGAAAATATTGTGAACTAAAAAGAGGTAGAGATAAATTAAAGAGAGTGCTGAACAGTGCTTACCTTAACAGTGCCTCCCTTTTGAATAGCACCCTACTTTGACATCAGTTACATTAGAAAAAATAAGAAAGTGTGATTTTTGGTAATCAGACATGGTTAAGAATTGGTAATTTTGTAAGGTTCAACCTCATATTCCATTGACCCATTACAGCTTATCCATGAAAAGAACATTTTGAATGTTTCTAATAACTTAGAGAGTGCATCAACTTGGTAACTGAAAGATTTTGCTGAATGGATCAAAGGTGTGTCATTTTTTCAGGTTCTTATAATAATGAAAGGTTAGCTTTACCTCTTTGCCACTAAATATCTGGAAATATAAACATTTAAAGTCACTCTGGTACTTAAATTTATTTTCATCAAAAATAGTTATGAATAGTTATGGGAAAATCAATTTTTAAAAATGCCGATATAAAGGCCCTAGTTATAAACAGCCTGATTGTTGTTTTATGATCAATACCTCCAGATTCATGCTTTCACCAATAAATCTTACAGGTCAAACACTTTTGAATTTCTCAATTTCTAGATATTCAAAATTTACCAACCAATGAGGGCTAAAGTACAGGTCAGCTGGTATAATGCCAGGAATCTATGTAAAATCAAGACTAAAGTTTACTAACATTAGTCCAAAATGGCAGTCATGTTGCGAGATTAAGATAATATCAGAACTCAAAAGTCAACTATCACATATATTCAACTATTTTCTGTAATTAATAGCAATATATAGACTATTTCAGTTTAAAGTAATTCAGTTGTATATGATATAGGTTAACTTACAATTAAATCGACCTACAATTTTTAACAATTACAATGGCATTTGATATTTACAATAATGCTATATAATCATTTTTCCATATTCATTGATATAGACATGTCTTAGAACTTCTATTTTGATATATTCATTAGAATCCTATAACAGCAGTTTTATAGCATCTTCTCCACAGTTTAAACCAACATATTAAATCAAAGTTTAGCAAAATAAACAGAAAAATAGTAGAACTACCATTATCTACAATACTAAGGTCATATTTTCACATTACCCGCAGAATATAGAATCAAAAAGATGCATTTGTAAAGTATCCAAACATATCAAAACATCTTGCAGGGAATTAAGTGCAACTAATTTTAAAACAATAAATAATAGTAGTGGCTTTTCTTTCTTCACATAGCATAAAATACTCCTTAAAAGCATGTTGCCTTTAATTAGTAAAATTCAATGGTAACAATATGTTTGTGAATACAGGACATAAATGCATATGCCTGCAGTCAATACTGAAGTGAAAGGTTTCATACTGATTGAAATTGGCATATATTTCTAAGAAGAAATATGCTGGGTACTGCCAGTACTATATAAGTCAAAAATATTCAGCTTATTTGGCAGTCAAGTGTTTTTTGCTTACATATAAGAAAAAAAAAAAAAGGTCAGTTTTATTTTATAACACACCCATGTCACCACTATTATTTTAGCATTATCTATGACCAGCTTCTTTAAAAAAAAAAAAAATTAGGTTAGTAACAATTTCACACTTAGTTTCCTACTACATTCCACAAAAGGGTATTTTGTTCAAGTTTCAGGAGTCTTTCAGCCACCAGAAGTGTTAGTAGCACCTTCTGCAATCCAGCACCAGAAAGCAGGCTGGCTACAACTGTTAATTGTCCTGTTGAAGTAAAAGGAAACAAACTCCATAATTACAGAACATGCTTGTAAGATTTAATTCTCCAATGTGGCCACAGCAAGTTTACTGACAATCACGTTCACCAAAACATGTGTATGCATACACTCTTCCCTGATTACGGCTGTAATTGAGAGATTAATAAGGCCTGTATCCGAAAAGAACCATGTTCAAATTAAGTGACTGCCAAGTGCTTGGAGGGTTAAGGAGGGTAATTAAAGATGGTTAGACACGACTATAAGCTAATGTAAACAGGCCGCAAGACCCCTGACATGCATTAATACAGGCTCGTTGAACGTACATCAGTACCAAGTGAACCCGGATCCTGAAGTCTTACCTTCAACACCGTTTCACTAAATAGCTAGGAGTGGGCACACGCGCGCTTCAGCTCATGTACTATGAAATGCAGAATACCACATTGCCACTCTCAGCCCTCACACTCCCTGCCCTGCAAGGCCTGGATCTCTTGCTGGGCTCACCCTCTTTTCATTCCATCCACTTACCAAGAAGCACAGCTGTGGCCAGTTGTGGATAAAATATCTATAGGTATAAATGGAGTAGGGTTCAGACAGATCTTTGGTGATCAGTCTCATGATATCGGGCATTTGCAGCTCAGATTCGTATCGGACGTATCGTATCGTCCGATCCTCCCCAGGCTCCACCTCCCCGCCCGCGAGGCTCCTCAAGCTGCAGCCGGCGGTCAGGGATGCAGACAGCAGCCGCACCTGCTCGTCGTCCGCCTCCGGCTCGGCGCCCTCCGCCAGTCCATTGCGGGCCGCCGCGGGGTCGCTCCCCGCCGCCGCCGCCGCCGCTGCCAGGCTGGGGCGCGCAGTTCTTGCATTATTGGGGAGGCAGTGCGGGGGGTTCTCGCCCGAGTGGACCCCGGCTCCTTTTGTTGCAGTCGCTCTGGGGCCCCCGTCGGGGGCGGCTGCGGCCGTGGGGGCCTCGGCGGCGCTCAGGACCTTGCTCTTGAGGGCGGCGGCCGCCCGGAGGTGCCGCAGTTCGGGGTTGATCAATCCGTTGAGCTGCGGCTGCTCCTGCGGCGGCGGCGGGCAGCGGAGGCGCGGGGGTCCCTTGGCCGTGGCCTCGCCGCCCGCCGGGCTCCTGCCGCCGGCGCCTTCGTGCTCCTCGTCGTCCTCCTCGTCCTCGCTGCAGCAGGCGAGCGCGGCCCCCGCCGGGAAGGGGCAGCGGGGCTCGGCCGCCGCCGCGGCCGGCGGTGCTGGCGGTGGGAGGAGGCTGCTAGGCCCAGGCGGTGCCTCCGCCATCCTAGAGGCGACACAGACCGAGAGGGGAGGCCATGAGACCCGGCCGCGGGCGCGGGCTGAGGGGGGTGCGGGGGGCGGCGAAGGTGGGGGGAACAAAGGCAGAAACCGTCCCTCACGGAGCTGCTCCCCCAATTCCGCGCCCCGCCGGACCCCCCCCGCTCCTCAGCGCCGCCCAGCTGCTCAGCCGGCCACCGTCCCCGTCCGCCCGGGCCCGGCCGCCGGCCCTGTCACCCGCGGCCCCGACCCGCCCCTCCGCGCGGCTCACCCCGCACACGTCCGCGCCGCCACAGCCGCCACTCCGCTCCCTCCTCGGCCGCCGCCGCGCCCTCGCCGCCGCGGCCGTCGCCACCGCCGCCGAGGCTCACACTCGCCGCCGTCGCCGTAAAGCGCCTCGGCTGTTACCCCGGGTAAAGTTTCCTGGGCCTGGCTTTACGACACTTCCCTGCCTGCCGGCTGCCGGGGCCACAGGAAAGGGGCGTGGAGGGAGGTGACCTGCGGAGGGGCGGGGCCGGAGGTGTCTCCCGCGGGCGAGCCGGGGGGCGGGGCGGGGGCGGGGCGGGGCGGGGGCGGGAACTCGCCGGCCCGGAGTCCTCGGGCCCCGCCCGCTGCCCTCCGCCGCGGGCTCCTCAGCGGCGCGGCGCTGAGCGCGGGGCGCGACGTGCGCTCCTGCCGCCAGCACCCGCCGCCCGCCCGCCAGCCCGCGCCGGCCTGCTGACCCGGGCGCAGGCGGGGCTCACCACAATTCTTCTCCTCGGCTCTACAGCCTCTGACGTTTGCCCCCGGGAGGGGCTCGGGAGGGGGCGCCTGGGTCCCCGAGTCCTTAAAATGGAGCAAATCAGAGCAGAACATCAAAAAGGAATGCAAGTTGCAAAGCTTGGGGCTGGGAAAACGGGAATGGCTGTGGAAACCGGGTGGTTGGCAGTGTGAGCTAATGTGGTCTTGGGCCCCTTGAGCTAAGAGAAGGCGGGCGGGTATCAGTCCTGGTCCCTCCTCCCTCATGCTCACCCCGCCCGGGAGGGTCGGAGGGGCAGGTGCTCGTCCGCGGCGAGCAACGCCAGGAGAGTGCTGGACGGAGGGAGACAGTGACCCCCGCTTCAAAGCGCGGTCCTAAAGTTGTGAGACGAGTTGTGGCAGGGTGGGCACCACCGGGAAAGGCTGTCCCGACCTTGCGGCCAAGGGGTCTGTCTACTGGGGTGCGGGAGGGAGAGAGCTGCGGCGCGCCCTGAAGCCTGTGTCGGGGCTCCTTGGTTCCCATCCACAGTGATCATTTGTAGCAGATCTAAGAGGAAGGCAGGTGGTGTAACTCGCCAACACACCGAGCCAATTAAGTTTTTAAAAAACTGATTTGTCCGGTGTGCAGCAGATAGACGTTTGCAGTTGCAATTCTATGACCTAAGTTTGCAGCTTTCTGCCATAATCTAAACTCTGTAAAATGTGGGGTACACAATAATAGCTGTTACATACATACACTTGTTAGGATCCTTGTCACTAAAAATGTTAAGTAAAAATCACCTTTTCATCTGGAAGTTCAACCTATGGTGTTAAAAATAGTTTTTTAAAAAAAGGGTTAGCAGGTGCCAGGTTCTGTTGTATCTTATTTTTGTAAAAACTCATTTATAGGCTTTTATAGAAATACTATCATTTATGTATAGACATAAGAGCTTATTTATTCCAGCCATGTCTAAATTAAAAAAAAAAGTTATAAATCATCTAAGTGTCTAGCAACACAGGAATGACTAAATAAGCATTTGATGCATCGATAGTGTGGAATATTACTGCTAAGGATGTGATTGTTTAAAAGATTGAAACAAATACATATTGACTGTTTTAGTGAACTACCGCTGCATTGCTAAATTATCCTCACAACAAGGTGGTATGAAATGGCCATTTATTATGCTCACAGATTCTGTGAGTCAGGAATTTAGACAGAGAACAACATGGGTAACTTTTCTCTGCTCCATTATGCACAGGGCCTCAGTTGCTAGACTCAAAGACTGAGGACTGGAATCACCAGAAAATCTTTCACTCTCATTTTGGTGGTTGACATTGGCAGGGGGCTGCAGACTGGAGATCTCAACTTGCTTTCATGTAATCTCCCTGTGATGTCTTAGAATGGACTGACTGGGCTTTTTCGCAGCACAATGTTTGGGTTCCAAGAGAGGGAGGTAGAAGCGTATTACCTAGTATTAGAAGTCAAGCAGTATCGGTTCTGCTGCATTCTGTTTATCCAGGCCACCACAAAGTCTCATCCTGTTTCAAGGAAAAGGGAAATGGACCCTACCAGAAATATTGCTGTTAATCATTTTTGGAAAACACAAGTTGCCACAGGTGCTGTTAGGGGGAAAGGATGTCCTGAACAAACAAACTACACGAATAGGTTTTATGGATTCCACCTCCACCCTAGGCCAAAGGTATTCAAGTCACCAAGGACTACAAATCCCATAATGACATCCTCACCGAAGGGAGGATTGCTGGGAACTGAGGGTGGAGTTAAGCAGTCAAGTTTGGTATATAACCAGACACGTGGGCCTTGTGGGGGGGGGGGTCTCTCGTTTTTTTTTTGCCGGCCCTCAGAGTGTTATTGGGGTTCCAGCTCAGCGGAACTGGTAGGATGCATTCACCAATTTATCTCTCTCCTCCCTGAATTATTTATTTCTTCATTTCTCCTTCTGTGTGTGCCTGCAGTTGAGTCTTAGTATAAGTGCCTTTTAAGAGCATAAGTGAGAACCCACAGTCAGGCAACCCATTTTATATGGGGGTTGCTGTGGAACAGTTTTTCCATGTAAAGACCTCCAGAACACTTTAACAGGATGAAACAAAGGAGATGTCTAACAAGTACAATGTGACACCATTCATAGTTTTTAAAAGGTATGAAACAAACCCATATGTCCAAATGTACATGTGTTGTTTAAAGGTACATATTTGTCAAACAACATAGTTTCTAAGTGTAACCTGGGTGTTCAGCCAAAGAAACAGTGATCTATTCAAGTCATACAGGAAAAACTGGCCAAAACACCTGACACAATTCCCCTGAGACAGGTTTAGGGGTAATTTGGCTTAGAAAAACATGTCTCTCATTAAGCTTAGATTATAACCCTCTCCTGAAAAAGATGTGACTCCATTGTAATGATTGAGTGGCAGCAAATCTACATGCTCTTACATATGGTAACTTCCCTATTGAGAGTAGTAAAAAGCCTCCTTGAGATGAAAGACTGAGTCATCACTTTGTATTCACCTATCTGACACATAAAAGGGAGCTTGTGAAGCTTTTGACTGAATTATGTTATTACTCAGCAGTCTGGGGTGTTTGCAATTATGCAGTAAATTCTGGCCTTCTTACTAGCTAATAAACTAATAAGATTTCTAATAACTAAGCTCCAGTCACTCTTCCTCTATCCCAGTATTAAAACCCAGTGATCACCTTCTAATTCAGATGGGTTTTCTATGAAATCTTGTCCTTATGAAATTTTTTTTAAGATTTATTTATTCATGCATACAAGAGCTGGGGTACAGGTCAGAGATACGGAGGGGTGAGAGGATTCACCTGAGACAGAGTGGGGAACAGAACAGGCAGACTAACTGAAATATGCTGCTGAGGGGAGCAGCGGGAGAGGCAGGAAAGGTCTGCTGCACCATGTGGATGTCTCCCTCTCCAGCTGGAGATGGAATTCGTGCTGCAGAGGCTGTGGATTGCTTCCTAGTGTGGTGCTTAACCCCTTGTGCCACCAGGGAGCCCCCTGAAATCTTTTCTTTTTCACTCATGTTTATAAATAAAATGCTTATATGGTGGTGGGATTGCTTTAGGCTTAGAAAAAGGATTAATTTACTTTAAATGCTTTAGGTATATTTGCCTATAATGAGTCTCTGAAAAGACAACTACCTCTATGAGCAATAACTTGATAGGAAGCAATTTTTTCATATAAAGGAATGGTTTCAGAGCAGGGGAAATGTAACCAGTGGTACTTGTCTACCTGGAGAGTTGGTGTTTTCATTGCTTTGTAATAGTTTATGATATAGCAGTTTGTTTTTCTTTCTTTTTTACTATCCTCTTTGTTTTTTTTTTTTTGTTGTTGTTGTTGAACAACAAAATAGCACATCTTAATTTTTTTAAGAAAGAAAAACTCAAAATCAATTAAAATATCAAATAGCAATTTCAAAGCAACATCCTTAAGCAGCTTCCTGAAGTTTAGATGGAGAAAAGTTCCTTCCTAAGTCTAACAGCTAAATATTTTTCTCTTATTAGCTGGGTTTAGAGGAGAAACCCAGCTGTGTACCTACCTGAAAGGTAACTGTGGGAATGAAGATATTAATAATGGAGAGATGCTTTAAGTTTGTTTGACTCTGCAGGATGACATATTATGTGCCATAGGCACACATACTGAATAATTTAAATATTTGTAGTTTTCTTTTACATGTCATGTGATTCTTAATCCTACTAATCCTATCTATTATACATAAAGCCCTGAATATGAGTGTCCTTAATTTTATTTTATCCTAGATGAAAGAAAGGGCATATATCAAATTTGAGGGGTGTAGAATTTAACCAAAGGGAAAATATTCATATATTGTTTTACTACCTGTACTCCTGGAGCTCTGAGATTCTCATGTAAATTGCTTCCATTAATTTGATTCTTTCCTATGAATTTGGGGTGGGGGATTGGGACAATCTGTTCTTTAACTCTTGAAAGAACATTGAGAGCAGAGAATAGTGTTTGGTGGTCCCAATTGTAGGCACAGATTTTTCTTTAAGAACTGAAGCCAGGGGCCTCCCTTATGGCGCAAGGGGTTAAGAGGCAGCACTATGAAGCTATCTGCAGCCACTGAAGCACAAGTTTGATCCCTGACCAGGGATCTAACCCACATGACACAGCAGACCTCTCCTGTCTCACCCGCTGCTCCCCTCAGCAGTGTATTTCAGTCAGTCTGCCTGTTCTGTTCCCCACTCTGTCTCTGGTGAATCCTCTCCCCGCCCTCCCCACACCTCTGGCCTGTGCCCCAGTTCTTGTATGCATAAA